CCCCCCTTCCCCTCCGACTTCAAGAATGACTGGGCATGCTGCTTATCACTTAGGAATTTTGGAGTTCAGAAGTTTATATTATTACGTAACGTCGTTACATGCACGTATTTGATAAATTTAATTCTCTTATCTGATTAAAGCTATGTTCATAAATTGAAATATAGTTGTGCTTTGATATTTATTTGTTTGGAATACAAACACTAAAAGTGTGCAACATTTTGCACTGATTTAATTAGTACTATAAATAGCACTAATTGCAGTTACACAATAAAAAACAATAGGGAAAATTCTACTGTATTTAGTGTTATGGTGTTTGTACCTAGTAAGGATTAAAGAGTTGGTTTGTTTATGTTTGGGGGTTGCAGTTCATATGTGATAAGGAAACTAAGAAATCTGATGATGTACCTGTGAATGATATCAATAGTTATCATATGACCCGTATCTGCCCGGGCGCGCGCTCTTAGAAAAACCTTCGGGAAAATAGCGTGAGCAGGGCCGTACGGCTTTGAGAGGGGGGCCGTACGAATCCGTACGGCCCTGCTTGAATCCGCGCGCTTTCTCTTTTTTTAGCTTTTATTTACTATTTCTTTCTATCTTTTATTTTTTTGTTATTTTTTTCGTGAGGGTCATTTGATAAAATGCTTATTGACTAAGTTAGATCATTAGTACGGACCGAGCGCTCCTGTACGGCCCTCCCACTCAGTCAATGAGTACATATTATATCCAGTTACTTTCCAACTCATATTGGCGAAGGTTTTGTTGCATGTTTGATGTTACGTTATATAGCAAGCTTGACGTTTTTTTCGACATATATATCAACAATACATTTAATACGCAATATGGAACACAACCTTCACCAACCTTTATAGAAATGTTTTCACCGGGGATTCTCAGCACCAATTACCTTAGTCGAACCTAACTTGAGGGGAGAATAAACCGGTTGCAGTTTAGAGTGGGTAACTTTGGCGGGATCTTTTCAAGCTCATGGTCAGGGGGATTCACCCTGCTGGATGGTGCACTAACCGCGGGATATAGCTAGATTATTCAACATTCAGGCGAAATTCTCTCTTCTCGGATGATTATTCCTCAAAATAGTTAAATTGTTATTAATTTGGTTAAATCATTAGTCACAAAACAATTTTAATAGTTCCGAGAAAGCCCCGGCTGTATAAGTCCAAGTAAAATCCACCTGTGCTGTCATTGGTTAGTTTATATAACGAAAGATTTGATTGGTCCTACGTCATAAAGTTCCTGGAAGAGAGTTTTTTTCTTGGAATCTGCTTGCAGATCATGTGCTGAAGGCACATGTTGATAAAAGCGGATTTGTTCGTGGTGTGCGAATGAAATAACGAAGGTAGGAATCTTTCTGATAAGCTTTTAATATCCAAAATTCATTAACTTCAGCTTTATATTCTATTTTCACATCTTATCAGTCACAAATATCGAAAAATTTCATAATAATGTTGTCGCAACATCTGAGTAAACAGCTTTAAAAAATGTATTTTGAACTCGTGCTTTACACTTGCATTATAATGTTTCCTTGATTTTAACACACTAGGTATAACTGCCGAATCTTTATTAATCATTTAGCAGCTAAAAAAAGTAAACTATAACGCTGTATTAAACTATATTTTTTGGTAAAAATTTGTTTACAGATGTAAAGGCCACCGCCGAGAATCACTGTAATGAGCAAGCGCGTTGAAGGTAATCAATAATTATTAGAATCATTTAGATTGTATAAAATGTTTGCAGAACAATGATATAATATCGACCAACTTAGGTGAATTTTCACGATAAAATTTCAGTATGATAGTCAAATGTTTATTTAAGAAAACAATCTCGAACAATATCTTTATCGAGTAAAAAAAAAAAAAAATTAAATATTTTTCCAGCTTTTCTATGTCGAAGCGTTGTAACCTGTTCGTGTTCGTTTTTATACTAAAATTATATATTTATTATTTCAATTTAAAGTCTAAAGGTACTTATCAATATGCAAATCATCCAAAAATTAAATTATTCGAAACAGCAAAGCTTACGAGACATTCATATCAGTCGATCGTACAACTATCTGAATATTTAATATGTAAAGCAAATATGTATATCATGGAATTTATCATGGCATTTTTGAAAAAGTAATTTCATTAGGTTCCATTGCATGGACCAAATTTGTCTTTTGGGCATTTATGGGATGAAGTTGCGAAATAGTCAGTTGTTCTTTTTATGATCTTGCTTGGCTTGATATCAGATCTGATCATGGTGATTAAGTTCCACCTAACGCGTAGTGGCAGGTTGTGATTGACCTTTTAGAATCTTTACATAGCAGAAGGCGAGAGAGGGTAAAAATTGCAATATATACAGATACTAATATACGTCGCTTAAAGATTTTCCAATTCATTGATATATAGTGTAAAAATAGTGGTAAGAAATGACGATATTTTATATGAAATATTAAGGAAATCGGCAGTGTCACGTTTTACAGATAACCATTTACTTGCCTTGCCTAAGCAGGGAGTAGTTTTGTTAAATGCTTCTGTTTTGAAAAAATTGGTATTTGATCTTCCAGGCAATGGAAATAAAATCACAAGATTGCAATAGGAAAGATCACTTTCCCAGCATAATGTCATAGAATATATTTAAAAAAGGGGGATATAAAAAAAAACAAACTCTGGTAAACCTTACAACATCAAGAGGGAGAAGAGAGTTTTCTTTTCATTCTGTATGCAATCAATTGCACAATAGATAGGATCACAAATAGTTTTTTATTTAAGCAAAATAGAGAAAACCTTTAATATGTCTGACCTGTAAAGTATTTCAAATTCAACCCTACAATAGGCCATTTCACGGATCCGTTACTCAACCTCAGCCTCGTCAACGTGTAATTATTCTTTAGAATTTGACTACAGTCCGCAGTAATGTAAGGAATTTACACATCAACGAACAATTGGAACACTTAAAAATTTCACAGGTTGTAGGCAATTTCTAAAGAATATATTACACGCTGACGAGGCTGAGGTTGAGCCGCGGGATCTGTGAAATGGTCTGTTGGGAAATTGCTTCAGGTTGGGAAATGTAGATGGAAGCCCTGTTCAGGACCATGTCATTCCTCTTGCCTTTAATAGACAAATGTTATCTTAAATAAACTCTTAACTGCTTTAAATTAAAGGCAGGTCTTATGGGCAGCGAGTGCCTCCACTGACTAGTGTTATAAAGAGTATATTGGAGAGGTACCCTGATGGAGGACAAATACTCAAGGTGCGTACTAGACCTATATTAGGGACCTTAAGCTGCAGGACGGCAACGCGGGCGACAACGTCGTCGAAATTGAGGCGCTCCAACCTTCCATTGAATTATTATTTCATGTTTACCTAGTATTTTACTCAATAAGCATCCCCGTTTTAGAGTAAAATGATGTCTTTGGGATTCCTTCACTTAAAACGAAAATCAGCAAAGATAAGCTTTTGGCGTAGCCGTTCTCTTTAGTACGTAAAAATAGGACATTCCACGTCTTACTTTCAGCATAAGGCGGCAATGATGCATAGTATTTCGTACATTCCAACGAGTGTCTATTGAATAGCACAATTAGTGCTATTGTATGCTTGCCGTGGTAGTCGTCGTTGCCGTCCTGCAGCTTAAGGTCCCTATTGTTTTCTTTTAAACTGCCCCCCCCCCCCACCTATTTTCATACCATTTCTAGGGCTACATTAATTGTAATGCTTTATTTGTGTCTTTATTTTATTTTATTTTGCTTTTTCCCGTGAGGGCAGGGACACCACAACAGCTTTTGACAATTATTTTAGGCCCTGTTGTATCATAGAAGGTCTATAGATGAATATTTTCCCCAGAAGCTAAAACAAAATGGCATGGATTTATCCATATTCAATATGGATTAGTTAATGGAATGGATTTTTGCATGGGATAGATAAATGGATTGAAAAAACGGATAAAGTGAAGCAATGACTCAAATGAGAAGGTTGAATGGGATGAAGATATGGGATGGGTTGACGAATGAAATGGGATAGGATAATAGAGAATAAATGGTTTGGAATGTCGAATGGGATGGGATGGATATTATTGTGTGAAATGAGATGACTGATGGAATAAGAATGGGTGAATCAAATTACGATGAATGATAAAAGAGATCGCTAAAAGTTCTCAACAATTTCTTCACAGGAGATAATCCAGAATGCAGACGATGCATCCGCGACGAGTATCTCATTCCTCTTGGACTCTCGTGCCAATCCTTACGGAAAATCCTCCCTTTACAATGAAGAACTTGCTAAGTTCCAGGGCCCCGCACTCTACTCATTCAACAACGCTCTGTTCAAAGAGGAAGACTGGGACGGACTACAGAGCCTCATGGATAGCAACAAGAAAGAGGAACCTTTGWA